ATTTTGAGGTAGCTGGTATCGTTGCGCACCCATAGTTCCCCCGGAGTTGACAACTTTCCCCCGAAAGTGCTGCAGGTGACGCTACAAGGATAGCTGAACCATTAACGATATTTTTCCAAGGATTCGTGGACGAACAGCAGGTTCCTAGCATGTGAAAGCAAGGCATCATTACCCCGCGTTTCAAATGTGGTAGCCGTTCAGAGCCAGCTAACTATCGCCCAGTGACTCTCCTTCCAGTGCTCTCTAAGGTGATGGAATCGATCATAGTTGAGGCTGTAATGGGTTACTTCGAAAGGTCTAACATCATAGCACTGGAGCAACACGGATTCCGTCAGCACCAGTCATGTACTACCAACCTACTGCTTGCCCGTCGCAGTTGGACCGAGATAGCCGACTATGGGACCGGTATTGATGTCATCTACCTAGACTTTTCCAAAGCATTCGACCGCCTAGATCACCGCATCCTTCTCCTAAAGCTGCAAGCATACGGAGTTGGAAACCCTGTCCTCGGATGGATTGGAAACTTCCTCTTTCATCAGCGCCTTCAGGTTCGAGTTTGAGGTTCATTTTCTAATCCTATTGATGTGGACTGCGGTGTTCCACATGGGTCGATGTTGGGGCCGCAGTTATTATTGTTCTTCATTATCGATCTTGCGAGTGTCAACAAGTCAACTTTCCTGCTTTTTACCGATAATATCAAGATATGGCGGGTAATTGACTGTCATGAAGATCATGATATGTTGCAACGAGACTTAGACTGCGCTTTTCAATGGTCAAAGTCAAATCTACTTCCGTTTAACACGGACAAGTGCAAAACCGTGCATGTCTGTCACAAGCCCACGTACGCATATAAGCTTGGGGACGACATTCTGAAAACCGCCTCACAAGAGCGGGACCTTGGGGTGGTGATCCAAGACGATCTCGGCTGTTCGGCGCAGTCCTTGAAGGCGTCCAAAACCGCGAACCAACATGTTGGTCTGTTACGGAGGGCGTTCGGGAGGTTCGATCCCTCCATCTTCCCCTAAATACTCAATGCGTATATGTCCCCATGTAGAGTACGCGATTCAAGCTTGGCAAACCTGGTTAAAACGCAACCTGGTTGCACTGGAGACCGCACAGTGATGGGCAAAGAAAAATGTGAAGGGTTTGACACATTTGAAATACGATAGGCAACGGAAAGCCCTGGAAGTGTACAACGAAAGATATCGCCGCCTACAGGGTGACCTCATCCTGGCGATCCACATTATTAAAACCCCCGGTCACGCTTGCCGCCACTTCCTGAAGCTTAGCTACAACACAGAATTGAGGGGTCATAAATTGAAACTTGCCACCCAATACAGTCGGCTTGAGTGCCGCCGGAATTATTTTTCCCTTCGACTTTGTCAACCGTGGAACGCTTTTTCGACTTTTGTCATTTCCACCCCCACGCTATTCATTTTTCTAAGACGACTCGACGATACTTCACACCATTTACATTACTTGATTTCTATTCATTGAGTGACGACAAGCTGCAGACAACCATTGTGCTTACCAACTTCACGAAATCAGTGTTGTGTTAACGTGGATAACATGGTGAGTCCACAGATGTGGTTTTCACTTTTGTGTAACTTCATTGAACTAACCTTATTCCCACAAACCATTCCAGGGAACTTGCCAAGCCTAGGCTTTTTTAACCATATTATACCATTGTTCCATTGTATTCAACAGAATTTCCGAGAAATGGTTGGATTTCGGTTCATTGAAAATTCATCGATCCGTTCTTTTGGAGCTGCTGCCCCTATCAGTTTAGGCAGCTTGGTCATGTGCATTTGCTTGAGGCATGTGGGTTTTGCACAGGACCCTCATCGACTTCATCGGAATTATATATATATATATATATATATATGACGGAATATGAAATCAGGGTTCGAGTAACAGGAGAAAAAAACAAACAGCTTTTTTGTCCATTTTTTCCACTCAGTTTTTGAGATTTTTCGGATGTATATTCTTGGGGGAGGGAAGCGGGATTACCCTAAGTCATCATGGTTGTAAACTATCAACGTATCAATTCGATTTGTGAATTGCTGTTGTTGATGAGGTCGTTGTCTTCGTTTCGCTGTTCCACCTAGAAACATCTCATTTTGTACATACTTTTATTTTCTGCTCTATTTTGCTCTATTCTTATGTTTTTTATTTAGGTGCCATCCTACTTCGCCTACCTTTGCCTGCGCACAGTATCATCGTATTACGTGCGTCTGGCAGTTTTTGCTAGCGAGTTTTGTATTATCTGACATTTCGCGATACGCCCGCTTCTGGACACCTGTACCTATGCTTACTGGCAGCATGATTACAAACCTTCCTCGCATTGTTTTATTATGAATGCTGCTAATCGGACTTTCGAATGAATGCCCAGTCAAAATCATGCGTCGCTTTATGATCTTATCAAAACAGAATTAGTTTGGCACCATCGTAGCTTACACTATAACCGTGTTAGTGGATGACGGAGGATACTGTTCGCCATCAATTTGCGATAAGTGACGGAAACAAATACTGACCAACTCCGTTAGCATTATCCTGCTCACCATGATAAAATGTTTGACCACAATTCTCAGTTGATTTACCTTTTTAAATTCTTAACTTAACGCTACTAAAACCCCGCAGTTCTGCGTTACGTGTTGAGAAATGTGAGTCCCCGCTGCTTAGCGATCGTATTTTTTAATTGTTTCAGAGCTGTATTCCGTCATTCACTACTTCGACTTACGTATTATCCAAACAAAGCTGAATGGCTTTCGACATTCCACAAACTTGCCTACCTAATGTTTTCCAATTATAATATTATTCTCCCTGTTGCTCTAGTACGTCATGTTCATACCTTCGGGTTGCAATGGTTGCTGTTTCGCAGTTATCACAGAACTCCATCGGGTCATATTTTTAAGTGATTATGTGCCGAATAAAGTCTAACTCACCTTTCTTTACGCTGGGATTAGTCTATTCTTTTCTGATTCTCTTAAGAAGGAAACTACTTCACGGGTTGTAGATGCAGCTTGATTTGCCTAGAGCAAAATTGCCACCAGTTGTCTCACGGAATCCCGTTCACTCTCATTCTTTAAATCTGGCTTAGCTGAAGCCTGGACCAAATCAAGTTGAAGCTCATTGGCCAGGATCCAATGAATGAGACCGCGCCTCCCTTCATGTGTGTCAGGAACAACACTTTTGGTTTGGATCCAACCAAATGGGGGTGTTTACCGGTCTGTGTTAGTTTCTCCTGCTCATTTTGAACTGTATAGTCAGGTCCATTTGGATTGTTTTGAGGAGACTTTTCTCTTTTCATTTGCAAAGTAATTGGTCCATGATTCGAATATGTGTCCGTTATCCATGTCAGCGGAAACACCACGGCAGTGGGAGAGCACAGCGTTTTATCACCAATTCGCTACCGCGCACTTTAAACTAGGCGCCTGTTGACGTAAGTTCACTTGAGATCGATCGTTCTGGAAGACGTATTCTCTACCGCTGCCAAATGGCTTCTTGAATTGTTCCGCATGTTCCAAGACTGCGTGTGTTCGGCTTCCTACATGCCTTCAATCACCGTTGACTGTAGCCTATTTCTCATTGCCCACAGTAGCGCCGATTGAGAACCGCTGATAATCACTCGCTTCAGTGTGAACTTTTACTTGCGCTTCTTGATTGTCCCTTAGTTTCTTTACTGTTTATCGATGCTGTGTATCGTTGTATGAGGTCCCATCGCGGCCAACTTACTACGTTGCTAAGGAATTTGTAGAACTTGATTTATCCGCGCCATCATATCTATGGGTAACATACTGTGACATCGATTGTATCAGTGACTAGGTACTTTACCAACACTGGTGTTCCCATGTTAAATTTCCTGCAATTCTTCTTCAACCTTTCCGTTTTTATCATACTCTGTCCGTTTTCACCCATTTTCTTCGTATTTTCCTTTGCGTTTTCCCCACTGCTGTTGGTTTCTGTTCTCAGTCGACGTGTGTCACGACAACCGGCCCGCAGCATAGATCGTATTTGTTTAACCGAACCCAAGTGAACGTTTACAAACTAAGTACCCAGCCTAGATAACAGTTCATCTAACAAACAAACAGTTGGTATCGTCTATGTGAGAACCTACCCACCCAAACGACCAATCATGATAAGATAAAAGGTGACACGCCCGACTGTCTGACGCCACCCGCTAATAGTCTGCTATAGAGCAACACACTGATGATGCTATCGGTGCATTGTGTACGCATATGCCCTTTTATATCCACTGCGCGTTTTTGTTCTTCTCATGACTTCTGTACGATTTGCTCACAATTTCTTCTTAGCATATTGTGGATCACACTTCGAAAAATATAAATTTCTTTTCTATCAATATCCACCACTGATCGGATTAATGCTGTTGCTCTGGGTGATTATCCAACTAAATACGATTCTTTTTTATGTTTTTAACGACTAAGAAGTTTTGCCTCGTTTACTTCACGATTTATGACGTGGTCAATTTGTTTATTCTTTTGACCCCCTCGAGTTGAGTTCTCACATTCAGTTGATTTTGCAGTCGCATTTTCCGATACTCTCCACTGTCTTGATTCCGTTTCACTCGGTTGTGCTTATCTTCCAATCACGGTTTGCGTCAATTTCTTTTATTATTTCCTCATTTGTTGGGACTCACTGTTGTGCACCCAGACCATTTATATCTGTTCCCCTGATTTATGTTGGCTCCGGTATTCGGACATCTTTCTCGGTATTTTCCTTTGATAGTGATCATCAAGGATGTTACTAACTGCAGTCTAGGGAGGATTAGTGGGCTTTCGCCATCGGTTGAATTACTTCTTAATATTAACCCAAATCCACCCGACATTTGGTAACACAGATAAAACGGACCAAGTGTCCTTATATGTCGCTTTGCTTTTTATGTTCACCACTACAGTGAGTGAAATAACTCGTTTATTTATCATTGTATTGCCGTGCGATTTGTCTCAATATTTTGGGCCACCCCATCTGTTCCTTTTTAGAAACCACTCGTTGGCGAATACGGCTCTATTTTCCATCCGGCTCTACTGTCTAGCACGCTCATCTTATCGCCGCGTTGAGATTCTGAATATATTTTCCGATCCGGAGAAATGGATCTTGGAAGTCAATCTGCGTGTCGTTCTCCTTCCTTCTCCGTCTCTGCGAGAGTCCCGTCTTCCTCCTGATTTGCTTCTCCAGAAGCTAGAGTCAAATGCTCGGTAGGATGAGGGAGTCAGTTTGTTGACCATTCTTTCGCGTGTATGTTGTTCTTCGACATGACTTCCACGTGTATTCCACTCATCATCTTGTAGCGCTCTCTAGAGCATATGAACCCTTGGAACGACCTTCTACCAGATACTATGCGGATTGTCGGTCCCATTTTCCATTTCTCCTTGATGTAATCAAACAAGTTGACTCGATAGCAATGTGTGCCTCGTGTTGGGAAATAGCTCTTATCCACCTCAATTGCCGCATGTGTCATGTGGCTGAAGTCGTCCGTTTCTGGATCTTCTTGTCACTGCGACTGCGGGTCGCCACAGGATGGTTCTGCGCGCATCCTGGTGTCACCGATCCACTCGATTTCAAGTAATGAATCAGAGATCATGAAATGGGATACATGCCTGTAGATTTGTCGCGCTTACTCCGGAGTTGGTCTGTACTTCACCAATACCGTAGCAGCACGAATGCGTGGGCGAATCAGCACGACAGCGGCTGTGGATCATAACAGTACCCTGAGACAGCTGATGCAGCGTCTGAGGTGGGTACTTGCCTTCATTTTCCATATATCTCCCCCGTACGGAGTGGTTGCTCGCTACTCAGCCACTCAGGTGGCATTAGGTATAATTAACATATCTACTTGATACACGCGCCGTAACCGCTTGTGTTGTGGAATCACTTTCTTAGCACTGCCCCATTAGCCGTTTGCTTAGGTCCCATTTTCATTGGGACCACATTTACTATCCGATTTAGCCTATGCTCGAAGTGGCGATATCAGACCGATAGACACATTGTCAGCATTTACACCATGCGCGATGGCTCATTAACTACCGTGCAGGCCTAGACGTTAAGTAAATGATAGATCTGTCAAGCCATTCAACTAATTCTTTTGGCAAGTATATTTTCCAACAAAGCGGGATATGCTTCAAACAAACCACTTTTTCACCGGAATAGTCTTATTATTATTATCACGTGCCCTGCTACATCACAGGTATGGTTGTGGTTAAAGACGGTCCAGTTTACCACTTGTGTCCCGCTGTCTGCTTCTTTCTAACCTAGCTGCTTTCCTGCATCGGTTTTTCGGTCCCCCATACGGATCCATTTATTCGCCCCCGCAATTTTGCGTTCCACTTATTTCTTTGTCTCTTGGTTATTGAGCCAAGCATATGAACCACTGCTAATGAATTCACATGTTAGACCATGTGCAGCCACCAACCAAGTGCCAGCATATCGTCGATAACTTTGACCGAGCGATCTTCATCTCTTTCTTTTTTGTATGAGTTTGGATGACTTCCTTTGCAAATCGATTGTATTGGTGCTATGGCTATATTCGTTACCTCGCGAAGGTCGAAGAGCCGATAATCCAGCGTACTTGGAGAGGAGGTATGTGACCAATAACCCAAATATGTGCTCCAAGTATGCCCTCACCATGCTTCCATGTACATCTCAGAGAAAGGATAAAAGGGAAACTATGGGATTACTAACTGGTCACTTGGTACACAAGTGGAGAAGACAGAGGTAGTGAGATCAGTTCTGTTTGGAGCAATTTGCCACAACTCACATAATTTGTTCTGCACTATGCACTGGAAGAGTTAGACGTGGTAAAGGAGGCTTCATGGCAACTAGTACATAGTATCTTCAGAAGAGTGCCCCAGTAAATCTTTCAGGTATGTTTTCCAATATCCGATCTTCAAGCGTGCAGATGTCCAAGAATTCTGCTACCGAGTTGGTGCGCACCAATTTATTTAAGGAAGTGCGAGCCTGCAATGTAACCGGATGCTCTAACGTTCATTTATAGCCTGTCTCATGGGTATGAGAAGTAAGAGTCTGCTGCGAATATTGGATTGATCCTTTTGTAGACTGGTTAACTGACACCTAGCTTTCTTTATGTATCAAGCAGTCCTGTTTAGGTGTAGAGTGACATGTGGGGAGTTCGTAGCGTAAGCGTAAGCAACCTAATCCACCGCACTTCGATGGACGGGAAATGGTTACTCTACTAGAAATTAGGGTTTGTCGCGATACATTTAGTTCGGTAAAGATAATGTGTGGCAACCGTCGGAAGTTTATTATCACCCGCAGATGGGTGACATTTCGCCCGCCAGCCATTTAAGCAAATCGATTACATCGCGATAACTTGCTGTCGTACAGCCTGTGTTCAAAACTGCCGCTCAGTCTAGTGCACAAGCGTGGACTATGATCACGCAATCGTTTGTGTCGATCTGTTAGTTCTTTTTGGCGGACGCCTGCGAAGACGCTGTGAGTACATAGAAACCATCCAACTGGCGAAGCCATGTGTTCTAAATGCTTGTCACAATGCCTTGGCATGCGTTGGAGATAACTGGTCGCATATCCCCCAGTAGACATATATTTATGGGGTAAATCTGAATGCCAACCTGGGCATTGCATCTATGCACGATTTGAAGAACTTCTTGATTTTTGCTGAGGTATTCCTTCTGGGATCTAACACCATGAGACACGAAAAGGCCTCAGGGCAAAACTGCGTGGTAACCTAAAGAGACCGCATAACCTGGCAGTCTCACCGTTCATGGGTGATGGAAGTAGCAGCTGCCCCTGTTAACCATCAGAAAGTACTCAGTCTAACACGAGCAGCAGGAGACCTAATGTTAGCGAGATCATACGCGAAGAAAGTGGACAGTCAATCCACAGCTCGTGAAAACGCTTAGGGTGTTGGGCTTAGCATTTTGAGTTTTGCGAGGAGCATGCCGGCTTGTTCGAAGTCCGGCTGTATTGTGCATCTCTTCATATTACCAGTTGTTAGCGTGCCGCCATATATATTGGTGACCCACCGTAGCCATGTGCCTTCGATTCCGTAGCTCCATGTGCCCTTTTTGACTGTCTGCTCAGAAAAGATGGGCCTGGTAAATATGTAAATGTCATAAGAAAACCCCGCGCGTAGCTCGGGCGATATGAAAGCTTACAACAAGCTGTCGCCGCTCTTCGATATTTCCAGCAGTGTGAGACAAGTTTGACAGCTGTTACCATCCTCTTTAACTTCGCCATTGCGGTAGTCATAGAAACTGCGTTAACTGGAGGCGGCTTAGGTATGGAGTTGCTCCCAGGTGATCAACTTCTTAACTTTAAGCACGCAGACAGCATTGCCATAACTTGTGACAACTCCCGAACATGCCAAGTAGCGCTGGAAAAATTAGCGCTGGCTATCAATCATATCGGGTCATGTTTTGCATTCTTGTAATGCAGTTTTTCTACTAGATTAACATGGACCTACATCTGTGCTGACTCTTGATGGTGATCAACTAGAAGTCGTCCAGAAATTCAAGTATCGATGCGGCTATCTCAACGCCAGTGGGGTGGAAGATGAGATGACGAACCATATAGAAAATGCTCGAGGTGCTTTTACGAATCTCCGCCTCCTATCGTTCGAGCGCGACATCACTCTCACTCCGAAGGCAGCGTTTCAGCGCATCCGTGCGTTCAATCCTCATGTATGATAGTGAGTCCTGGCTTACCAGATCAACAGCCATAGAAAGGCTGGTAACATTCGACCATCGCTGCCTTCGAAGTTTAGCTCATGTCATCTGGAGCACCGCATGAGTAATAAGTGTGTTCGACGTGTATTTAGCGCAGGGAAAGCGACTGAACCAGTCAGTACCGTTGGATCACGCACCAGGCTCGTATGGCTAGGTCACATGTTGCGCATACCAGCACACCGGTGACTGCGTTGTTACGCGGCCGGGGTGTGGATGGAAGAAAAGGAGTGGAGGCCATGCGATGACTTAGCCAAGAGGAATGAAAACCCTCGTTTCGAATTTGGCGTCGGTTGATGTTTCTCGACTGCCGAGTTGTGACCCCAAGGATGATGGGCACGTTTGGTTGAACACACTTGATGTTGTGACGAAGGACCGATCTCAGTGGCTTTCGTATCGTGGGTTTTTGTCCTTTCCCCTCCACTTTAGCTTCCCTCTCCAACCACCAACTCATTTCTGATGCACAATATTATAGTACTAGCTTTCTGGTCTTTATTTTGTAATATATACTGATTATTATCTAGCTATTTCATATATATTATATTTCTCATTGCAGCATAACAGCTGTGGTGTTTCTCATCTTTGGCCGACGCGTAATGATAATGTTGATGATGACTGGTGGGGACAACATTAGCACTTATCCCTCATCCACCCTGATGTATGCAGCAGATAAGATTACCATTTTTTGACTTTTCGGTGTCCACAATGAGGTTCGACCTTTACGTCGGTTGATGTCTCGCTTGGCTTGACCGTTGTGTTTGCCAAATGCTTTCATATCCATTCGTTTTTGACGGGTCTATAGTCATAAGTCGACTATAGTCCTCATAATCCGCCTCATAGCAAGTCTAGGAAAGGTCAATCACCTCCTCTTTTAAAGCCCAGGCATTGAGAGCTAACGGGTCACGCCTTACAACTTAAACTCGAATCGCGTAGTTTACGAGTTTCAGGGGTTGTGTCTGGTTGTGGCAAAACTCCCTGTTGGTCATTGATTTCCTGTCTCCGCCTTATTCCACACAGCTCTTCACAAACCGCAGGGTGTCCAAAACTCTTGTTCTCATGACTGTGATTGCAAATATGTGACCCGCTATGGTCGAAAAACGCATTCCACTGGCCTCAAGCACTCGAGAACTAAACGTGCTACTCGCTTTCATGGCAGTTAAGTTATTGACCCAAACTCTGAGTTTTTTTAAGTAGGTCACCATCCACCACGTTGCCCTGCACGTCGGATCATTTACCTGTAAGTTGGACGTACTTTTGGAGTTGACACTACTTTTGACCGAAATACTGTGGTCAATTTACTTAGGTGAATCCCGGCGGTAGGCTGCATGTATGCGTTCCAACTTACCAACTTCGTCAGCGCTGGTATGCATTGCCTGAATCGATGGTGCGTTTCGCCTATTCATGTTACGCGATCATCGGCTGCGGCTCTGAATATGACCAATTCTACCGACCAAACATACTGATTTACATGTTACCGACATTCTGATCATTACTAGAGACATGGATGCTCACACTTGTTCAAATAGCGTCCTGGAGACCGTTTTACGGTCGCTGTTTGTCGAGCTGATAAGACAGTGCCGTCTCTCCATACGTATACTGGTCGCTGCTTTACTCTTAACTTCACCTCCGCGCAACTCCAACGTTCGCATAACTATCCTTAACTTGCCGAACGCCACGGCGGCCTGGATTCGACTTGCCCGCATTTCCATTACTTTCCGACGACATAATCACCAACAGCAATACATCGGTTTTGATTTTCGGGATTTGCAGCACCCGCCGTGTTTTGGATAGCAACACACAATCTCAATTGTGGCATCGGTGGACTGTGTAGTCAACCTCTGTCAATACAATCACTGGAACCGTCACCGAAGTGGAGGGTTCGGTGTGGCTCTCTCCCATCCCTGCACTTCACGACCGACGGTTTCGTCCTGGTTTGGAATCATCATTTAGAGATAGCCTGAGCTCGGAGTGGAACTCGGCGCATAGTGCTTGGCGGCAATCGCCATGATCACTAGGCCATTGAGCTCCACGAGCAGTGCTTGACACAGCGGTTTGAATTTGATTTTTGGGTTTTGCAGCGCCCCCTGATCATTTGAACTGATACTTCGCTGCCACACAATCACAGAAACGTAAGCAATGGAGAAAAATAAGCTAGAGCGCAGGGTGGACTTAGCGCAAAACCAAAATGCCCTGAGCAGACATTCAGATTCAAGGTGCGCCTACACCTTGTCAACAACACACGGTTACAACCGTTGGCTGTCATGTGTAGATTAAGCGGCACCTGCAAGGTATCTTTGTGGTCTTTACTGCGATGCGTTATAATCTGCCTTTATCCCGGGAATAACTCAGCATCAGACACCCTTAAACAGGCATTTCGACCAGCAGAGGACAGCAGACGCGTCACTGACCGACTGCTAATAATGTCCGTATCTTCTGGAACCACGCACAAGGCGGGTTGTGTTAACTCCAACCTGGACCAACACTACTCACTTTTTGCTCATTCGCCAACTCGCTACGCGGTGACATGGCATATGTAGTCCGTCTCAAAGCCAATACACTTCGGTGGGGTATCATCAACCGACACCTATTCCCACACGGCGTTTATACCGCCGGACCCAGCAGTCACTCAACTTCACAGCTTCTTATTCCTAGCCTGCATTCACAATTCTGGATTACGGAACAGAATTAGTTTATCAACTACAACCGATACCCTAGGTACCTGATTCCAATTCCAGTTGCGATCACTTCTATCTTATTGTGAGGATAGCGTCAGAAACCGCTTTGGCGCTGCTCTCGGAGTGTCCGAATACTCGGCGCTATTCTGAGCCGTCAGATAGCTGGCTTGAACCATACAAAGTGGTTCATTCGGTGGGTCATTTATACCTAATCGGTGATACTCTGAGGTGGAAACTATTTAGAGTCTTTACTGTTACACAAAAGCATTGATTAGGGATGAGTATCCGCTAAATTGCGAAGACGAGTGTCATTGGAACTGCTAAGTTCTCCTATGTCTAGTCTGAAACACCGGTCCAAAATCCTCAGTGGTACAAAGCTGCAGAAGCTGATCTTTTGCTCAATTCTCACAAACGCCAACTGGACGATTTGTCGGCGCTCTTCTATTAACATGTTAACAGGCCTACCGCATCGCTCTCACTCGAACCATGGGTCATGAGCTCGAATCCTGATGGACACGCACTACTGATGATGCCCAACAGCATGAAACTGCGATCTAGTGCTTTTTCGGCTATGTGGAAGGCTATCTGGTTTGGAAACTGGCTGTGACGAACCTCAAATATCTGTATCAAAATCCTTTACTCATGTATACATAAAATAGATGTTTGTCTGAGAGCTTCATTAGAAGTCTTTAGCTCAACGGTTTGATCAAAGTGGCTGTCGCCAAGTCGTCCGGTTGACTCCACTTTATTACAACTGCAATCAAATTTCACAGTCTCCTGATCGAATTAAAGGACACCTAAAGTTACAGAGAACCGCAAGTGAACTTAAGTTGGTTTCCGCCTTTTTACCAATATCCTCCTTTGGTTGATCGCAGTGATAGTGGTAAGGTGCTCTTCTTTTCTCAGGTACAACCATCGGGACTTTTGAATTCTCATATGGTCGAACCGTCATTTCCCTAGACTGAATTCTGAGGTTAGTGAGTCATCGGCATCACAACTTGCGATGGAAAGGAAGCTGTGAAAGTGTAATGCCAACCACTATGATTCTAAAGAGATTTTTTAAAAACCAACTACGTTATCGTTAAGCACTTTGAATACTCGGAATACGTATCATGGCTCTGCCTCTGCTTTTGAAATGCGCGGTGCTAATCTAACTACTCTTTAGAGAATGCTGCAGTGCGAATTGTGAGTCTTCCTTGCCTTGGCTTTTCGAGCTGAAACCACCTAGTCTGATCGGATTCCAAATAAGCAGGCAACTTCATTTATCAGCACACTCAAGGATATGTGGCTTGTGTACTTCATTATGTGGAATATGCGCCGTTCTGGATCTTCCGATCCACAAACTTCCTTTCCGTCACATAGTCATCTGTTCGCTGCACCTATGTTGAACTACCCGGATGTGCTTCTGTTTAGCATTCCTAAATCCCTATATTTCGGCATCCTTGGAATTCGTAATGTAAGCTGAATCTAACCTAATTAAATAACACTGAGTCTCTGGGATCACCTTTTCACTGGACGTTTGTTTCCAAATCTAGTTCATCGGCCCCGATTTTCTTTCTGGAGCCACACGTCGGTTGTTAAACGAATTGTTCGCTGATCTTGGCAATTTTACTGCTAACATTTCATCACCAATCGAGGTGACTTCATCAGAGCGTTGCTGTGTAACGGAATAGAGCGATGCGTAAGTAGGTGTCCAACGGGTTGTCGCGCGCCTGTTTTGCATAGGTCATCGTCATTGGTTGTTGTCCACTGTACCTGTGTTTTTCATTTCAGCTAACGCCGGTTGGCTTTGGACACTCGGACCTCTTACTATGTCTTCAGCATTGACCATCCGGAGTGCCCTATTAGTTATTACACCCTTAGTATAGGTAGCGCTACTACCATTCGAATTAGTCATCTAACTTACGTAGCTGTATTGTCTTACGGGGTTGTTGTGTTGAAGATGTTGCCGAACTTAGGTGGCTTTTCAAATCCTCAGTCACCAACGGAGGTGTTGGAACATCTATCTGGTGATTAACGCTAGGGGCTACAACCTTGTAGTGTATGAGACATGATTGCTTCGTATTTCAGGCATTGAGCGACTGGTTGCCTGGAGCACCGAATGACTGTGGGTGCGGTTTACTCCTTAGGGTTTGATAGCGCATTCTCTGGTTATGCTCCGGAGCTTCTGTCCGCTTTTCGGTGAGATTTCAAACCGAACTTACAAGTCACCCAAAGCGTTCATTCCTAGCTTTTATTCTAGTGGCATTTCATGATTCAATGACTTGTTTGACAACTTTCTTCTATCCTTTCTCTAGGTGGCATGAGTTTCGCATAACTTTCCACGTTTCGGAATCGGCTGAGGTCTCTCAGATTCGAATCACAAAGGTGAGTCATTCGCAGTGCTTTATTCTTCTTCATTCCTGCCTAATCACTTTATTATTATGCGTTATTTCTACACACCACCGGACCACAATTGCAAAAGCGTAGTATATCTGTCATTTTTGGTTACTTATCCCTCAGACTATTCCTCTGTAACAAAAGAAACATCGTGCCTCCTTGGCTGCAGGCCTCTCATCTTACTAATATGTGCAATTCGGTATACGTAACGTACTCTCTAGTTTTTTATGCACACCAGTTCGCCATGCGGACTATTTGCAAATTCAGGAATTTCCTGTCACTCTTAACTTTATCCCCTTTGGTTACTCTCCCTTGTTTTCATCTCTCTGTTGCTCATTTCACACGTAATATATTTTCCCTTACATACACCTGCAAACGATGTCAGCGATAAAAATCACACCCCGACTTGGTCGTACAAAGTCCGTGCTATGAAGTGGTCTAGTCGCCCTCCTTTCAATTTCAAGGTAGTGCTCTTATTTGGCCTACTTCTACCGGATTCATCTTGACCCGAAATAGTTGGCGTAAGCCACTTTGTCCAACTTATTCAGTGTTCATTGCTTTACTTATCAATGGGCTTTGAAGCTTTTCTAGTTGCCAGCAGTATAGTCGCAATAACCTAGCATCGGACGTTTTTGTCCCCGTGATCAAATATCACAGGTTAGCTTCAGGGTTTTAAATAAATCCATGGCATGGTCAGTTTTACTCATGCCACCTAGAGATCGTTTTGCCACAGAGACGTCGACTGCCTTCCGCTCGTACCTGCTCGCATCCTGATCAACCAGCCATTTGACTAATGAAGGTGTCTCTAATAATATTTTCCATTCTTCCCTTGAATTTAGGTTGTGCTTTCTGTACTCGATTATACGATAACAAGATCATTGCACGAAGTTAAACATTGCATCCCTTGTAATTTGGCAAGCTACTTGTATACCTCGACACGCTCTCCATGCTGTGTCTCCATTTCCCCTTCTATCACAAGCACCATGACAGCTACAGTTAAGCATCTTATCGAATAATCAATGCTCATTCTTACGGTGATGTTCCCCAGCTCCATCATTTCTCCCGTCAACTTTTGTGTCTTGCACATTACAGTCGATGAATGTTGTGTTTCACGTTAACACGCATTGTTTTTCTGCTTTTCTAAACACAATTTTCAACGACTTTATTGCCTTTCACCCCCCTCACACAGTTCGTCCCACCCCAACGTCCTTCGGAGGCAATTCGAAGCTTGAGGCCACTTTCTTTCTTCAGGCGCCTCAGTCCCGCTCTTCCAAGTGCGCGTCGTTTGCCTTCGCCCACCCCATTCGTCCTACTACAAGAACTGTTGTTGTCGGAATTGGACTCTCCGTCTGTTCATCAGCCTTTGAGCTTCTTCGACAAGGCGGTTATGTTGTCTCCAAGCCCATTGCCTCTAGATACTCCTTCAGTAATTGCAGAACACTGTTTCTCGTCCAGGAAACTTCTACACAGTAGTTCACCTCAGACGCCGATCCACACTTTGATTTCATTCGACCACCTCATTGCACCCGACACCAAGCCAATCTTAATAATGTCGACTTCGACTGCCTGCATCTCGCACATCATTTACCTCAGCTTATTTCAATATCCTTCTCACCTCCCTTTCCAATGCTCTGTTACACCCAGTTTGCAATATTCTTCCCCCTCGTGTTCAGAGCATGACTCACGATGCAGCTTGCTCCATTCGGCCCGATATCGGTCTGTACAAACCTCAAATCCCTCATTCTTTATACCCTTGCTCTCAAAGCTTTTACACGATCTCCCAGCATTCACGTTTACCTGCATATCACCGACCCAATTAAGGAGAATTTACTTGCGCCACTGATTCAAATTCCCCCGCCCCTTGCTTTTTATAGAGGAATAGTTATTTCCCCTTACGGTTTAACGCTGGAAAACGTAGTTAGCATTTTTCTTATGGTACCCATTGCTGTGCAAATGCACTAGTTTTCTTTGAGCTCATACTCCTAACTATTCCATAGGAAGTTATGTTGTCAGCACAATATTCGCGAATTTCGGACTTTCCTTTATCCCCTTTCATTACTGCACTGTGCACGTATATTCGGCGCGACCGGACGATGTGAACTCTGTGGGCGTTATTTTGTTGGTTACCTTCAGCACGACAATAGTCAAATCAAGAAAATGCGTTACGCACCCAAACATGCACTTTCAGCGATGTAGCATGCAATTTTAAGTGGTCGTTTAGTAAATTAAAAACAGAATACATCATAGCATAAAATGCTTGGTTAACTTTCGGACGACTGTTAGGGTCTAGCGTGAATCGCGTTACATAAGGAACAAGTGAGGAACCTTAAGTTCGTGTGCCGACGTATATGGTCTAGTACTTCTGTTTGGTTGACTAGATCGATGTATAACGGATAGGGAGCATTTTTATCGGTAAGTTCTGATGACGCTAGCCTTGTGCAAGAACTAACACCAGTCGACACAATTATAACAACGAAAATCAGCTATGGCACATCGCGACAAGTGTTTTAACGACCTGGAAATTATTCCAAAATGCTAAACTAATATATCAGGAAAAATCACCGATGTGGAAGAACAGACGGTGACAAACGCCGTATCAAATTATGGGGGAAGTAAGAAGCTCGCAGACGTGAGGCGTAGAACGACAATCTGACTTTCGGGAACGTTTCTAATCTATACTTTTCCTAAGATAGATCGTATTCAAGCGTGATGCTTAGGTACTTCACTGATGGGGTGGAGCGCAACGCCTTGCTATAGATATGAAGTTCTGGGCATTGCTTGTGAGACTGTTGATCCCGATCTCACCTGTGCAGTGAAAAACCGACATCATTTCAATTTGACACGTTAAGCGGCAGCTTGCGGGCCTATGCCCAAAGCGTGCGGTCATTAAGAATATCTTGTATTCTGGCTGAAGCGGCAGTGATCGATTGATTGACGTTCAGAACAATATCCTTTGCTTACTTCATTAGGGTCGCCTTCTCTGGGGATGGTCTCGAGCTGACGTAATTGGAAAATCGAATTGATGATAGAATACCACCCTGAAAACACCAGTGTTTACGTTAATAGTGGGAAGCTTCTGCCTCCAATTTATGTAACTCGTATACGACCGGTATAATAATCCTTCAACACAAGGGCGATGGAAGTAGGTATTACAGCAACGGTAGTTCTTTCAACAGCAATTCGCAGTTCATGCAACAAAATGCGTTGATTTATTCCAGAAACCGCATTCAAGTTTACTTGACTCTATTGTCCAGTGACACCAGAACCGAGTGTGCAAAGTAGGCCACTGCGTGCTGTTCTGACTTCAAACTGCGGTAGCCTAATTGAAGAGAATTCTTCGGCTGCTTTTGAGTCAACATCTTCTCAGGAATGATGTTTTCAAACGCCGAAGTACAAACGATTGGCCGATATTTCCATGCTCTCTTTGGTGTTGCTATACTTCTGGCATTCATGTAGTTATTTTGTGTTATCGATTACAATATATATATATATATATAATGTAGCTAGACTTTTGTTAAGAATATAGCGCATTGTTCTAGGATAACGCGATACAGTCTGTCCGGACCGTTTGCTTTCCTTTGGCAATGTTGGTTCAATAACTGCACAGTATGGCTGTCACCAGGTGGCGGTGAGTCTCCGGACAGTTTAGGCTGAGCAGTGGATGATTCAGACGTCGGGATGTTGTAGCAATGGCAGACATGGTTCACTTTTACAACACCTGTGTCACAGGTTGATGTACATCGAGTAACCCTACTTAGAGGTTTCAACCTCATCCGGAGTGCACGGAAGCTATTCGCAGGTGTGGTCTGAACATACGGGTTGTTGAGTCGGGGTATTTCCTCCTTAAATAGGACACGGAGGAACCTTACCAAGTTGTCATTTTTTCTTTTGAAAACTTTCTCTGTTGGTCTGTGCAGCTGCTTCAGTTGGGCGAAAGAATCTGTCCACATTAATGAAGAGAGATTAACGCGGCCAGCGGTTGTCCGAACCAAAGTATTGTGGTAGTTAATAGATTGGACAATGCCAACCAGTATGTCGTGAACAAGCCGGAGGCCAATCAGCAATTGTCGAACCAGATTACTCACACATGAACGAGACCGAAAGAGGAATCAACATCCCCTCAACCTAGAAGGAACGATATACAGCTCGGTCACGCACAACGACGAAGCGAACTGAAAAGAACAACGACGGACGAACCGTGTGCGCTAGTCAGTGAGACAAGAGAGCCGATTCTTTCAGGCCTGACTTGAGGCAGACGATGCTGAAGCAGCAGAACGTACGGCGGGAGTCGCATAAAAGAAAAATTAACCAAGGCGTAGCGTCGCGAACGAACAGCGCCCCTCGCATATGTACAGAGGCTTCAAGTGGAACGGGGACTTAATTCAACAAAAACATCAACAACAGCTATCAGTGATATTTTATATTACTGATAGAATCCGAGTAGCTCGAAAACAACAAACTGTATAACTTCACCATCAGCACAGTCCCCTCGGGTTTAATGCGGGTTTCCGTCATTCTACCACGCTCCGACGCACTGCTGGAAGCATTCTTCCACGATGCTCCTTAATACCAGCGTTGCTTAGAGCAATATCAATTGAGTATTAGGGCTGTTCTATTATAGTGATTTTTTCTCGGTCAGTAATGTCCGGGTGCCCGGAGCGTTATGAGCAGGAGTATAGTCATGAAGAAGCATCCACGATTTGCTGTCATAGTTATCGTCTGTTAAAGCGCACTCAGGGAAGCAAGCGTTTCAATAATAATGCAACAATAATTGACACAAGTGCGACATAGACAATAGTCAGGTTTGAAGTGCATGTGACCCAGGTGCAGTAAACGAAAGTTCATAATCTAATACGAAAAAGGAAATAACGCAGTGCCAAACATATCTGGCGACAATCAACATGTGCCCAACATTTACAGATCACACAGTGAGGCTAGGGAGGGAATATTAACAGTCACTTCACAGTGGGAAATGAAGGGCCAGGTATCAGGGGAGGAGTCTGCTGCTACAAAGTGAACAAATTGGTGGTTTAACCGAGCGATCCATCTGTGCCTTTCACGGATGGGTGTGTAAAGTTTAATGCAATATCAGTAAACAATGCCGATTTTAATCTAATTATCCTTAAGACCGACAGGAGGCGACAGTACCCAATGTATATTGTACAGGCTACAAAAGAGGAAGCGAATCAACCAGAGCGAGAATCGGTACAGTGAGGTACTCACCGAAGTGCTTTGTGTCAAGGGATATGCCATCAGTAAAACAAGTGGACGTTTTGAAGGTTGCTACGATAGTAAAATCCAATGTTACAATATACTGAAACAGCGTGTTTTCCGGTACACTGCAAGGGCCTCCCCCTAGAACGCTGAGGGCTGGAAGTTTTCGATGGAGCTGTTAGTGGAGGAAAACGGAAGGTGAGGATGGGTGCGAGTAGTTGCATGGGCTTGGAGAAGGGCTTCCAAGACGGGGTGTGTGGCAGAATTCGCTGGGTCCAGGCTTTGGTTAGTTCTTATTTTTGCTGATCGTGTGGACCAAACTGCATCATCGGTTGGCCGTCAGGGCAGGCTGGTCAAACTTCAAAGTAAACTAACTAGTCCAAAAAGAAGGCCGACAGGGCCTTCTCTTTGCGGTAGACCCGACGGTGCGCTTGGGAGGTGTCACTCCCCCACAGCACTCTAGTCCACGGTGCTCGTCCCACGAAGAAATCCTGCGTCCTCGTCGACAACGCCTAGCCAGGCGTTTGGGGACCAACCCGTTTGTGGCTGTCTGCGGCCGAGGGCGACTGACTGCTCCTTGTATCAGGAACGGGGCCTTGGGTCGCCTGGCCAGTCACTGGGAGATGGCGCTGAGTCGTTTGGCGAGTCACTCGAGGGTTGCGTTGACAGTTCCGGTGGTTGAGTTTCTGGTAGGTAGAACTCAGAGGGGGGGGGCAAGGGTCGGTGGAAGTGGCTTGACGCCGGAGAGGGAACATGGCACGCATGACAAAAGGAAATAAGCTTTTTAGGTTTCAAAATGTTTTGGGTTTTTTGTCGCTTTTGCAAAACGTTTGTGAACAAGACATACGAGTACCACTAGGGGCGAAAATGGCATGTTAATGGAAATAGCAAACGTTTACAAAATCTGAAAGACGGCCGGACCTTTGACCTGTCTACTGCGTCAGTCGGTTGTCTGGGGTTGAGGCAGGGTAAGTTGAGAGTCAAAGGGAACGGAGGGTTTCGGAATATCTAGTGCTCGGGAAGTCACCACAAGCGCGGGTGCTTGTGTGATAGCATCAGGATGGGTTGCAAGTGGTTCGTCAAAGAAAGCCATTTTGAGGCGGTCGATGGACACCGTTTTCGATGACCATTCTAGTCTAAAGTGAACTGTTTCGGAGTCCAATGCAGGACTCTGAAACGACCAGTGTAGGGAGGCTGGAGAGCGCACCGCACTGCGTCGGTGCGGAGGAAGACCTAAGTGCAGGTAGAGAGTCCGCTGTGCATGTGCACATCTATAATCTGTTCACGGGGCGAAGTTGGGCGTAGTTGATGCGTGCGTTGAGCTAGGGAGGACGCAAAGCTAGGCGGAGGCATACTCGACGATGCGGGAGGTGACACAAAATTTCCTGGTACCTTTAGCGCTGTGCCGTAAACCAGCTGTGCTGGGGCACATTGCAAGTCAGCTTTGATGCTGCTGCGAATACCTAAGAGTACGAGGGAAATGTTTTCGCTCCAGCTAGGGTCGGAGGAGGCGCAGAGCGAGGCTTTGAGTTGTCCATGGAACCGTTCAACTAACCCGTTGGCTGCTGGGTGATACGTTGTGGTATGAATGCGGCTGCAGCCTAAAAAGTTGCAGAACGTATCGAATTGTGGAGCTTCGAACGGCGTTCCTCGGTCAGTTGTAATGGTGCATGGGCATCCATAGTGCGAGACCCACCGATCTAAGAAGGTCCGGATAACAGTCTCAGCTGTACAGTCTGTTACGGGAATGGCTTCTAGCCCTCTGTTGAAGCGGTCGACACATGTAAGAGTGTATACGAATCCGCGTGAAAGAAGCAATGGACCTAACAGGTCTACGTGTACATGCGAGAACCTAGAGTCCGGGGCAGAAAATGAACCAAGAGGACTGCGGGTGTGACGAGGTATTTTGGCGCGCTGGCATTGAAGGCAGGTGCGAGCTCAGGTACGTACATCTTTGTTTACGCGTAGA